AACATGGAGAAACCCCATCTCTACTAAAAATACAAAAATTAGCCAGGCGTGGTGGCGCATTCCTGTAATCCCAGCTACTCAGGAGACAGGCAGGAGAATCACTTGAACCCAGGAGGCAGAGATTGCGATGACCAGGATCGCACCATTGCACTCCAGGTTGGGCAACAAGAGCGAAACTTTGTCAAAAAAAACACACAACCAAACAAAACCCAGCAATATTTTATTTATACATATATATTTTAAAATAAGAACCATACATAGGAATAATATATACCAGATTCAGATCCAGAGTAGTGCTTCCCTCTGGAGAGGATATACAGGGGCTTAAACTGTATAATGTCTCATATCTTAAAAAACCCTGAAGTAACCTGGGCATGGTGGCTCATCCCTACAATCCCAGCACTTTGGGAGGCCGAGGTAGGAGGATATCTTGGGCTTAGGAGTTTGAGATCAGCCTGGACAACCTAGGGAGGACCCTGTCTCTACAAAAAATTTAAAATACTAGCACGGTGGCTCTCGCCTGTAGTCCCATCTATCAGGAGGCTGAGGTGGGAGGGATTGCTTGAGCCCAGGAGGTTGAGGCTGCAGTGGGCTGTGACTGCACCACTGCACTTCAGCCTGGGAGACATAGCGAGACCCTATCAGAAACAAAAAAACAAAAAACCTGAAGTGTGTCAGCATGCTAGGATTTGACAAAGTTAGATGGTATCCAGGTTTTTGTATATTTTTCTCCTTCTCCATGTGCCAGAAATATTTTTAATAAGTTAAACCACTGGCCAGATGCGGTGGCTCATGCCTATACTTGCAGCACTTTGAGATGCCAGGGTCGGGTAGGGCTACTTGAGCCCAAGAGTTTGAGGTTAGCCTGGGTAACATAGTGAGACTGCATTTTAAAAACTAACAATAGGCCGGGCGCGGTGGCTCATGCCTGTAATCCCAGCACTTTGGGAGGCCGAGGCGGCTGGATCACCTGAGGTCAGGAGTTCGAGACCAGCCTGACCAACATGGAGAAACCCCATCTCGCTAGGAGAACACCCATCTTCTTAATCTAATAGTCAGTCACATGGATCTTTCTGCCTTTTGTCAATTCTCTCCCCAAATCAATCTGTAGATTCAAAGCAAGTCCAGTCAGAATCCCAATAGTGCTTTCTGTGGAATTTGATAAGCTGATCCTAAAGAACATGGGAGAACCAAGACAAGAATAATGAAGACAGTCTTATGGAACAAGATGGAAGGTGACTGATTGTCTTAATCAGATAGCAAGACTTATTATGTGGTACTATGTCAGAGATAGTAAAACATCTGATAGCATCGTGTGTTGTCAAGATGTGAAGCAAAGTGAACATTCCTACTCTCTTGAGATTGTCAGTCACCACAGCCACTTTGGAGAGCAATTTGGTAACATACAGTAAAGTTGAAGACATACTTATCCTATGATACAGCAATTCACTTCAAGAACTGTCAGTGCTTATGTGTGTATTCATAGAGGCATGCCAGGGAGCAGAAGAAAAAGACAGACTGTGATATATTCATATTTATTCTCTATAATCGGAGAATATTTTTTATAACAATATGAGATATTTGAGGTAGAGAGATAGAGCAAGTTGTCAGTTATTGAGGTGGAGTGAAGTGGGTCAAGTAGGTAGGGGATGAGATATCGTTTTCTTTGTGTTTGTGTCAAGGATGGAGTCTCGCTTTGTTTGTTTGGCTCTCTAGTGCTGAGTGCATGGAATCTCGCGTTGTCTACCGGCAACCTCGCAGCTCGTGAGGAGTCCCTATGAGTGTTAGTTCTGAGGATTCTTCCTGCCGTCGAGTTCCTTCCAAAGTTTGGAGTAGCTGGACTTACAGGCCGCACCACACGCTGGCTAACTTTTGTATTAGCAAGTTTCACCATATTGGAGCTGGTCTCAAACTCCTGACCTCATCTTCCTCCTGCCTCAGCCTCCCAAAGTGCTGGGATTACAGGCATGAGCCACCATGTCCGGCTGGTCTGTGTAAAGTTTTAAAACCAGCAATATAGGCTGGGCACGGTGGCTTATGCCTGTAATCCCAGCACTTTGGAGGCTGACGCAGCTGGATCACCTGAGTCAGAGTTCGAGACCAGCCTGACCAACATGGAGAAACCCCATCTCTACTAAAAATACAAAAATTAGCAGGCGTGTGGCGCATTCCTGTAATCCCAGCTACTCAGGAGACAGGCAGGAAGAATCACTTGAACCCAGGAGGCAGAGATTGCGATGAGCGAGATCGCAACCATTGCACTCCAGGTTGGGCAACAAGAGCGAAATTTGTCAAAAAAACACAAACAAACAAAACCCAGCAATATTTATTTATACAATATATTTTAAAATAAGAACCATACATTAGGAATAATATAATACCAGATCAGATCCAGAGTAGTGCTTCCCCTCTGGAGAGGATATACAGGGGCTTAAACTGTATAATGTCCATATCTTTAAAAAACCCTGAAGTAAACTGGGCATGGTGGCTCATCCCTACAATCCAGCACTTTGGAGGCCGAGGTAGGAGGATATCTTGGGGCTTAGGAGTTTGAGATCAGCCTGGAAACCTAGGGAGCCCTGTCTCTACAAAAAAATTTAAAACTTAGCACGGTGGCTCTCGCCTGTAGTCCCATCTATCAGGAAGGCTGAGGTGGGAGGTTGCTTGAGCCCAGGAGGTTGAGGCTGCAGTGGGCTGTGACTGCCCACTGCACTTCAGCCTGGAGACATAGCGAGACCTATCAGAAACAAAAAACAAAAAACCCCTGAAGTGTGTCAGCATGCTAGGATTTGACAAAGTTAGATGGTATCCAGGTTTTTGTATATTTTTCTCCTTCTCCATGTGCCAGAAATATTTTTAATAAGTTAAACCTGCCAGATGCGGTGGCTCATGCCTATACTTGCAGCAACTTTGAGATGCCAGGGTCGGTAGGGCTACTTGAGCCCAAGAGTTTGAGGTTAGCCTGGGTAACATAGTGAGACTGCATTTTAAAAACTAACAATAATAATAAAATAATAATAATAAAATAGCCAGTGTGGTAGCTCTTGCCTGTAGTCCCAGCTACTCAGGAGGCTGAGGTGGGCAGATCACTGGAGCCAGGAGGTTGAGGCTGCAGTAAGTGTGGTCATGGCCACTGCACTCCAGCCTGAGAGACAGAGTGAGACCGTATCTAAAATAATGGTAATAATAGCTTTAAAACATTATTTTAAAACCGCCTTTTGACCACATTTTTTGCCGTAACCAACTTGCTTTTAAAAATTGGACCCTATGATTTGCCCTTTTAGTTAAATCACTATTAAGAATTATTGAGGCCGGGCACGGTGGCTCACGCCTGTAATCCAAGCACTTTGGTAGGCCGAGGTGGGCGGATCACGAGGTCAGGAGATCCAGAACCATACTGGCTAACATGGGAAACCCCGTCTCTACTAAAAATACAAAAAATTAAGTCGGGCGTGGTAGCGGGCGCTTGTAGTCCAGCTACTCGAAGGCTGAGGCAGGAGAAATGGCGTGAACTCGGGAGGCGGGAGCTTGCAGTGAGCCGAGATCGCG